CCCCGGGCCCAGATGGCCCGGTCGGACCCCAGGTGCGTGCGGGTCACAGCTCCCTTCTCCACGCAGCCTGCGGGGCCACCCAGTCCTTCGGCCTCTCCCAAGCTGGGCGGTGAATCATAGTGATTCTGACGGCTCGGCTCGGGGACCTCTAAGAGCCTCGGTTTCCTCATCCATAAAATTTTACACACTGGGTGTAGCGGAAGGAATGCGCTGACTTAGGAGTCCGACCGATCTGAATTTGAATCTCAGCCCCGGCGCTTGCTAGCCCTGTGGACGCGGGATGAATACTCGAACTTCTCGGTGCCGTGGTTTCCTCATTTGTAAAAGGGGGCTAATCTGATAGATGTGATAGACTTGGTAATATAGCTATCCACCTAATTATAGCTGGAAAAATGCACCCCGAACTTGTAGTGGTGGTGACGTGTGGGGAGGGGTTTGGGGTTGGAGAAGGGATGGAGGCTTTTTCCTTTGGACTCTACATACGTATATGCTATTTGAATTGTTTTTTATTGTCATGCTTTAAATGAAAGTTTACAATTCCAGTTAGTGTCTCCTACAAAAATTTATACAAAGGTGTTATGTGACCCTAATTACTCTCCCTATACTGTGACAGCACACTCCTCCTTTCCACCCCGGATTTCCCATGCCCATTCAACCAGCTCCTGACCCTCTCTGTCTTCCCATCTCACCTCCAGACAGGAGCTGCCCGTTTAGTCTCATGGATCTACCTGAGCTACGAAGCACACTCTTCACGAGTATCATTTTATGTCTTATAGTCCAGTCCAATCTTTGTCTGAAGAGTTGGCCTCAGGAATGGTTTTAGTTTTGGGCTAACAGAGAGTCCGGGGGCCATGTCTTCCGGGGTCCCTCCAGTCTCAGTTGTTTGAACTTTTTAACAACAAACATTATCTGTGTATTGTTGTTCTCATTTACCATCTGCTAGATTCAGACTTGAACTCATGGAGACCCCATGCGTGCAGAGTAGAACTGCTCCATAGGGTTTTCAAGGCTGTGACCTTTCCCAAGCAGATAGCCAGTCTTGTCTTCCGAGGTGTCTCTGGGGGGGGGTTCCAGCTGCCAGCCTTTCGCCTCGTAGTCGAGCGCTTAGCCATTTGCACCACGGAGGGACTCCATCCGGATATTAGTTATGTTAAAAATACACAACATACGTAAAATGGCAGATATGGAATAGATCTTAAGTTGTCACCACTATTTTTTATTTTTGCCATTTACTCATGACCCATTGTATTTTGTCGGGTCTACTTGGAGTTTTAAAGTTTTGTTTTTTTTTTTTGTAGTGACTTGTCAATATTTTAAAAGTAGGATATTTTATAGCTTCTTCTGAAAAACAAAAACACAAAAATAGATGCTCTAGCAGCACTGCTCTGCATCCCCACAAAGAAACAGGGATCTCGGGTGCCTCCACCTAGCCCTTCTGGAGCACCTTTTGCACTGGTGCTGAGGACACAGAGGACAGTCTCTGGCCTCAAGGAGCTGGTCCAGGGGGACAGACACCGCAGGTAACAGGAGCCGCGGGGAGGTAAGTGCTGGCTCAGCAAAAGCAGCCGTTCTCTTGAAGATGAGGCGAGCGAGGCTATAAAATGCTTTTAAAATGTAAGAATTGTATCCTTTTTTGAAGTTATCAAGCACATTTTGGTTTCTCAACAAAACCATTCTTTCAGGACAAAGTCTAGTGATGCTGCTTTGAATCATCCATATTTCTTCCTAGTTTGTATTTGTGTTGTTTTGTGTTGTTACAAGAACTGTCCGCGTTGCAATGTTAGGGAGCAGGCAAACGAGTCCCAGGGGTCCAGGCCTGCCCTCCTGACTTTTCCACCCGGGCTCAGAGGCTCAGAGGCCCATGGGCAGGCAGGTGGGCTGCTGGCGGCACTTGAGACCCTCTTACTTAGTGGGCATGGAGGACAGTGTTGCTAGGGCTTCTATTGTTGTGTTTTTGTTTTTCAAGAGAAGCTGTATTCTGGTTTTCAAAGTCGCTGAAAACAAACTTTAAAACACCAGGTCGTTAGCGGCCATCGAGCTGGCCCCTACTTGTGGTGACCCATGCAGAACAGTCTGGAAGGTTCCCCGAAATCCGTTCAGCATCATAGCAACACGCAAGCCGCCCAGGTCTCCCGCATGGAAGGCAAGAATCCTACCACTGAACCACACCACCTCAAAACGCCAAGTGGCCCCAACAAGACATGACTGCTGGTCAGAGGGGCCTGTAGGCTTTGGTTTGTGCCTCTGCGTAAAACCGCCCCTGTCCCGTCTTCCTAAACAGTTCGGGCAGATAATGGGTTAACGCGCCCCTCCCAGGAGGGGTGTTTTATCTGGAGGCTCCTGAGGACATAAGGTCCTAATGCAGAGGCTTATTTATAGTCACAGATTTGGAGGGGAAGCCCCTTTGCTCAAACCTCAGAGCACGATGCCTGTGATGAACGGCCCTGCCTGGGGTGGGGGTGGGAAGAGGAAGATATTTGAGGCCAGGGACCCTTCAGTGTCCCCTCAGTCACACCCCATCAGCATCCACTTATCTACAAGGACGGGAGCCGGGGGACAGAAAGGTGGATGAAAAGCAGGAGAGTGGGCGGGGAGCCTGGGAGGGAACATGTCCGCCTTCCACATTTGTAGCTGCCGGGAACTGAAGGTCAGAAATGGTCCTTTCCATTAGGAAATGGCTGCAGACCAAAGGGCTGACGAGACTTTCTACAGCTGTCACCTCGACAGCTTGATGGTCTGAAAACACTGTGTAAAGAAAATAATTTCCTACGTCTCCTGAGCTTGTGAAGTACCAGATTAACTCTGCAGACATGGTCTGAACGATGAAAAGAAGTTTCTTAAAAGACTGGTAATGAGGACAGGGGGAGGACAGATAGAGGACGGGGTGGGGACAGGCTGAGTATCGGCCTGCCTTTGAGCTCCTCGTAGTGATTTAATAATAACAACACAGCTGACGTGAACACAGCACTTCCTCTGCCCAGGACCATTAGAACATCACACCCATTATCCACTCAGTCCTGTGTAATAGTAACGGTAATAGTAATAGTATTCCTGTGAGATGGGGGCTGTTAAACCATTTTACAGATTTGGAAACAAAGGTACAAAGAGAAATTCAGTAACTCGACCCAAATCTCACAGCTAGGAAGTATGAGAGCCAGGAGTCTAAATGTGGGCACTGTCTGCGTATGTTTTGTGCAAGTGAAATTTTTGAGAACAGTTAGCTGAGCTCACTTAATTAAAAAAAAAAAAAATTTCAGGCAGTCGATTAAGGAGGTTGTCTTTGTGTTGAATTAAATAACGTTTTTTAAAAACATCATTAAACACTAAAAATTGTGGTAAATATATAGATAACAAAATACTGGCCATTTCAACCGTTTTCACACGTCCCATTCAGGGACGTTCAGTAGGTTCGTTATGCTGTAGATAGCAACCTGTTAACTCTGTTAACTCTGACTTTCACGTTTCCTGCGAGACGTTGCCCCTTTTCCAAGATAATGCTGGTGCTAAAACTGACGTGTACAGGTGGGGCCGTGAAACTATCTGTCTCTGGGTTAGTAGTCATAACAAGCGTTGTCAGAGGGCCTGGCGTTTGCCCTTCTGCCTCTCAGGGTCACGGTTTCCCCAGCTCCTTTGTTCCAGAAGAACCACTCCATTCCCAGATGCTACACGCCAGGCTGGTCCCCGCCATTGATTCCCAGTGGCCGGTCACGCTGCCTCCCACTGCTTTTCGTTCTTTCAAGATGCAGCTCTTCTGATCATTAGACTTTGGTTTACCCCTTTAGCCCGCTCCTCACAACAGTTAGGAGACGGGCCTGTTGTTACCTGTTCTCTACAAGGAAGCTGGAGGTC